TGTAAGTGGTTGGTATCGGTTTTCATATCCAGGTGGTACACAACTTGTTACCACTCCTGTTACAAGCACGTGTATTTGTGGTACTATTTATGGTGCTTGGTGGAATGGTACTCTACCTACGACTGCTGGCGCCACGACAACTGGAAACACTTGTGCCTCGTCCTATTGGTCGTAAACTCGATTGGTGCTACTGGTCGATCAAATGAGTAGCATTAAATAATTCAAATGATGATGATCAATGAGCATAGTTGGTAATGAATTTGTTGTGTATCGTTTCCAAAGGTAACAATGTTTGGAAAATAGACAGTAAAGTGTCAGGTCTGTTTGTATCTTTTTTTAGTTTCCCAGCCATGTGTTTATTCATGGTGGAAACAAATTGTTATCAATATGGTGGTAAGTCTTTTGCCTGAAACACTCGATGCCTTTTTAACATGGAACGTGAAAAAATGAATAAGATGATTACCTTAGAACCACGGTATTAAAAGTACCTATATTTATTTGTTCACTCTTTTCAAGATATTTGCTGATTAGATTGGACTTTTAAAGTAAAACGCTGGCCGTGCTGTAGAAGTTGAATTTGCCGCAAACTGAAAAAGAGCTCAAGCAATCATATGGTTCAAACTTCGATAAGAAACCAACAAGTCAGGAAATATTAACTCATTAAGCACCAGATTTTTAAATTTTGATTTTTCTGAATTTTTTCTGCATAAAAAGATGTATTGAAATAAGGTTTAAAAATAACATTTCATTAATATATTATTTTAAGGAATTTTTAGACTTTCAAACTTAGAACTCACAAATTTGTTTAGGAGCGATTAAAGATAAGCCACGACCTAACGTGTTCAATCGACCATCTCAGATTTCTCCCAACATTGTGGCCTTCTTTGGAGCAAACATTTTCATGAATTTCAGCCAAAACCGAAGGTCCTAAAAGTTGTTGCGTTGCTGAGATATTTAATTTTTGCAAAGAGCCCGAAAACGTATAATGTGAGGATATGGATCCTCTAGTGGCTAACTCTAATGGTAGAAGTGAAGTTGCTGTGAGAATCAATTCTCACTCCAATGTTTATTTAAGATAGTGAACGGCTATATATAGTACACAAGTTGAACAAGAGTTATGTAAGAGTTGCGCAGGAATTGCGCAGTAACAGAAAGAGTTGAGAAAATCGCAGGATGACACAAGTGTTGCGCAAGAACAGAATTACGCAAGAATGGTGCTAGAACATAATGAAGGAAACGGACAGGAAGGAAGGAAAAGAATATGGAGAACATAGCCTTATGAGCTGCGAAGAATGGCAGATCATAATGCCTCCCCAGCCCAACAAAGATGTGCGCCCCGCGCATCAAGAAAAAAATCGGTAGTATAATAAAAAAGACAAGAAATTTGTTGAGAGAAAAAAATACAAACGTACAACGAGAAAGATTTTTTTGTCTTTCCATCGAGACTAGCAAATAACATACGCAAACATACAGACAAATGAATAGCTGAGCAGTAGCAAGAGCACACAAAAAGAAAAGTCCACACACACAAGCAAGGCCGATTGTCGAATTGCTCGAAAAGAGGAAGTTTCCGCTCAAGCCGCTTTACGACGTTACTCGGGCAACGACGGGCTGCATCTGACTGACGTGTGCCAGGTCCCGTTTTCCAGTTGCGGAATCTCCTAAGAGGTACTGTTGTCTCCCTTGTACTTCGACCACCTTGCAGAGGCCCACTCGTCTCTCGTCGAGCTTTGAGTGACCGACACAGACCTTCACATAGACGAGGTCGCCCACTTTGTATGACGGATCCTTGCGGTTGATATCATAGCGCGTCTTCGCCAGGGACTGTTGGTGTTGGATGTTGAAGCGGGCTTGCCGAATGAGTATCCGTCGGGCTTGTGCCACCCGCTTGTAGAAGTTGTCGGCATGGGGCAGTTTGACAGTGGGAGCTACCGTTTCAAATGGGCTCTTCTGTTTGCGTCCAAATGCCAACTCGTAGGGTGCGAAGTCAGTGGAAGAGTGAATACCTGTATTCCAAAAGTTCACCGTTCCCTGACCGTACAATGAAATTCGAACTTTAACAATACCAATCGATAGCCAGCACATCGCTCTTCAAAACTACACAAGCCTCCGGCTTCCATCTTCTTCAGTTCCGGAGATGCAAATGTGTCCTCGGAAAACATGTATCTCCAGAACTAAAGAAGACGGAGGCCGGATGCTTGTGTAGCTTTGAAGAGCGATGTGCTGGCTATACATATATTTTTGAAAAATAAATGTCTTTTCTAGTTGAGACAGTGAAAACCAACGCCAGAGAAGAGCACTTTTGAAAGAGAGCTAGTAAACGTAACGTAAGAGAGAGAAGAGTACAAAAGTTAAATTATGTGTCGACTTTAAGGTGTTGTACAATATCGATAATATTGGCAACATGAAGCTGTCAATGGTATTAAATAGTTAACATAATAGCCATTACAATTTGTCACACTTACGGGTGAATATGCCCAATTACATGTACTGCCACTGCCAGCACTAATGCAAATGTTTCCAGTTGTCGTGGCACCAGCAGTCGTAGGTAGAGTACCATTCCACCAAGCACCATAAACAGCACCACAAATACACGTGCTTGTAACAGGAGTGGTAACAAGTTGTGTACCACCTGGATATGAAAACCGATACCAACCACTTACAAGACTGTAATCATTTGGTGAATAATTACAGCTAACCCATGTAATGAGTCGATATGAATCCACGTAATTTGTATAAGCATAACATTGAGTTGGAAGGATGATAGAAGTAGATGATGTAGCTGAAACGAACAGATTTTGACTTTGAATCAAGTGATTTTCCACTAATCTAGTTGCTAAAAACCTTTCATGAAATTTGCGAACACATATAGTCGGATTGCAAATGCATTCAGTTTTTTTCTGCTAATCATAGTTAAAAGAAAATCAAATGTAAAGTCGCATGAATAATTCTGCAATCGTCTGTATACGTTATGATGCGGGTCTTATACAATGTATTCCTTGATCTGAGGTTTTCAAACTGCATCAAAACATCAGTATTATTTCAAAAAAAGGTAATTATTCCTCTTACCGGTGACACTAACTGCTGTTGAACTACCAACTGTTGACGATGTTGAAGTAAGCCTAGAAATGAAGAATAAACCAATGGTTCATTGAAGTTGGTTTATCGAATGATTCTCTTAACCATAGTGTGGTCATTATGGCTAAGGGTATGCCGCACGACAGCAAGCCAATCATTAAAAATACCAATTTTGTCGAAGACATTTTGGAATATATTTTACCGATACTAAACGAACTGAAAACAAGCCCAAAGATTGATGAAGAGCAGTAGAGAAAAACTTTACTTTGATGGTTCTTTTCCAACCGAAACATTCGTATTTTTCATTTGATTCATATTTTGAGATGCTGTTGTCAAATCATCTAATCGAACCATCTCACCTGCTGTCAACGATCGAAATTGTGGTTCAATATCTGTAACACTTTTTGCTCCTGGTGAACGCCAATTATTTGTCATTTGATGCTGCTCTTGTTGGTAACTTTTCTGGAGTATACTGTTTCTAGCAACAGGTTCTAACGTATAATCATTCCGTGTTGGCTCGGATAAATATGAATAAATTGGGTCTCCATTTTGATCCTAAAACAGCTAATCCATTTCCTGAAAACATCGTTCTTATTGGTATCGGATTACGTACCATTGAATTCACACCGCTTCTTCGAACAAATGATAAAAAAACAATGAAACCATTGTTCGAAAGAGGACATGGAGACTTTTTCTTTAATATTTTTGCAGAAGTGTAATAACCTTTCTAAGCCTTTTCTTTCAATAACTCTCTAAAATTAAACAAAAATAAAGAAGGCTATCAAAAAAAATTAATTTTTAACAACTTTATATTCATCAACAGTTCGATATAATAATAACAGAACAGAATCTAAAGCAAATAGGCGAGGATCATTAACTTTTCTTGAGCAAATTTCATTTATTATTACATGTGATCCAACAAAAAAAAAGCTTAAAGCAAAGGTACTAAATCGAACTGTTGATGAACATCAAGTTGTTAAAAATCAATTTGTTGATAACGTTTTGTTTTGACTTAATTTTACAAAATTATTCAGAGAAAAGACTTAGAAGTGTTATTAAAACACTATAAAAATATTAAAGAAAAAGTTTCTTGATCTTTACTGTTTATTAATGTACGTATTTTCTATAGCAGACATCATTATTCGAGTCCTTCTAAAAAAATTAGAATATTAAGAAAAGCGGTGATTCTTGATTGACCTGCTCTCGAACCAAACTATCTAAGAATTCTGGTAGAGAGACGAAGCTACCTCTAGTGCCATGAACTTATCACAGGATCCGAACCAGTCGATATAGATGGTTATCTTGTCATTCTACTATGAAATTCGTCCAATGACCTTTCTCTCCAGTTTTGATTTATGTCTACCTAATGACGATACATTTTCTTCTTTGATATATAGAGTTCTAGAAAGTGCTGTGTGATTAGCTAAACTTAAAGTTATGGTTGTCTGGAAGGACTGGGTGGAGAGCTATGGGCATTTTTTCTGAAGCCTGAGCACTCCTCTTCCGTTAGGTTTTTACATTCACACACTCGTGCCAACTCATTTTCACGCACACAAACACAGACAGAAAAAGATTTAAAGCAACACAGAACAAACAAAAAGAATTGAAGCATTCAAAAAGTAAAAATAACTGGTTGGAGAGAGCGCACAGTAATTAATTTTCACTGAATGTGTATAGACAGTTGATAGTAAAAATTTGAGCTCGAAATGTTGAGTTTATGAATCAAAAAGTAGGTGTCCATGCGTCCCATGTCTTCCACAATTCTAATGATACAGACGTCGAGGTGGTGTCAAAAGTGGTTTCGTCTGATCAGAGAAAATCTACGATCGACCCGATCGAGAAAACCTTGACCGGTCATCTATAGTATCAACTGCTCGATGTTAGGTGAAAACTATGAACAATAGAACTGACATTATCCAGATCTTTTTGTCTGATCAATCAAAGGTTAACGCTATCAATGTCGATGTATCGAAGTCAACATTCACATTATTCGATAACAGAACATTGGTGAATCTTAATTTAGAGAAAAGTTTTTCCGACGCTGTGCATATAATGAACAGCGATGAAAGAAATGCTCGATGCTTATAGGTATTTTATTTTTGTAGTTCGGATCTTGAAAACAGAATTATGATTTCCGATACATTGTACAAAGAACAGAAAATTATCCATGCTGCAGTAATTGCATTGTTGTTTTTGATTTGAATTTTACCCTTAAATGTTTATGGTCGGTATCTATATTCTCCATGTTATGCTCCCATATATAAACTCGAATAGTTTCTATTACTTTATTTATCACGAACTAATAATTCGAATAATCACCCAAAAATACATTTAAAAACACAGCTATTTATATATAAAATTTACATATAGTTAAACATACGAGAAAATGGAAGAGAGTAATGACGTCAGTAGTACAGGACAGAACATGACGGACATATAGTTCAGGGACGACAAATAATAGTCACAATTCTAAACATATGATGTCCGTATGTCTTTTATGACATTAAACGCCAACTTTTGTTTCTACATTTTCCAGTAAGATACCAAGATATACTCCATTTTGTCTGTGCTACACCATGAGCTTTAATAATAGTTTTAAAAACCAGCAGAAAATGCTTTGGTTTAGAAAGGTTTTCTAAAAAGCTTTGAGAATAAGAGAATGCTTCGTACTAATTTCTACTGCAAAATACGATTAACCAGATAATATGGAGTATATCTTGATATTCTGAAGCAGTCTGGAACAAATTTGACTGAGTTATGAATTTCTTAATTGTCGATGAAAATAGTAAAAAATAGATTATTTCGTCTAGTATAGCTTTTCACTAGATTCCTGAAGCTTTTCGAAAAGTAAATATTGTTATGAGATTCAGTGTGAGCAATAACCTATGTTCCAAGTGTTTTGAAAGTTTCCAAATATGAAGTTCAGTCGCTAGATAGGTCCTCGGGAAATGTCTATAGCTGCGAATTATGGAGGATTAAAACAGGAAACTAGTGTAGTTTTATAGAGAACAGTCTAGAGGTTCGAATTAACATCTCAGAAGTCAATATACAGCTTTTTTTGAAACGGAAAGCTTTCAGATTTTGCCGAACGAGCTACATCATGGCACACCTAATCGGGATACCCAAGTTATTGCAAGTGTTGATACTTTTAATTATTCAAAATCTTAATGGTTAGAACAATAGGAATGTAGCATGGTTCACAAAATCATGACATAGAAAATTGAACGTTTACAATATTTGCATTTACCAGAAACTCTAGTGTTTTTTATTCGCAAAAAGCTCAAATCTTTCACTTTATGGGCAATGGTATAATTCTGATCACTAATATTACGAATGAGTCAAAATATGTCAGAGACAGATAGGCTCGATTGAATATTTACTATTTCTTCGTTTAATTGATTATAAATCTTTAATAGCTGATCAGTTTCATAAAAGAGGGACAAGGATATTTTAGAGAACGAAATTAGGGCTGGAAAGAGAACGGTTGCCTATTTATGGTCAAATTTGGAGTGATTAGAGAACGGTCAGAATTATACAACGAAAAAACCGAAAAGAGAACAGTTCAGAATTATGAGCTCAAAAGACTGAAAAAACAACGGTCATATGTTCGAATTATCAAGATATACCTTGCATTAACTGCAAAAAAAATATTGTACGAAAAAAGTGCAAATATATATGATATTTCAAAAAAGTAGAGCAAGACTAGATTTTTTTCGATTGCCACGTTTTTCTGATCCTGAAGGCATACGATCTTTTGAGATTACATGATAGCAAATTGCAAGAATCGTATGTTTACAAAAGTATTCTTTGCAAAGGAATCTGAACCATATCTTAAAATGATTCATACCATATCTTAAGATTCATGAGTTAATGGGGAATGTGATTTTGCGGCAAATTCACAGTAAACCAAATTTCTCTATCAAACTCAACGTAGATATACGAGGCGCCAGCACTATACTGGTATAGCGGAATAGTGAAATAATGAAATGAAACGTTTATTTTGGACTAGTTCATACTAAAATTTCACTTTGGCTTGAAGCAACTCTAAGCGAAAGTAAAACTAGACTGTGGACTAGTTCAAAGTGGAATTTAGATGTACAGTACGATAGACGAAAGGAAAATGAGGCGAGAGAAGGAAAAAAGAAAATTTTTAAGAGATAACAATGAAACAAAAGAACGATTTCATTTTTGGAACAAGTAAAACGAGATTGTTTCACAAAATAACAATGGAGAAGAGAGGAGAGAGAATTGAATTTTGTACTTAGTACATACATGTAGAAAATATAAAACGGACTAACACATAAAGAGCGAGTAACAAAATAGATTATCATGCTGCTATGATGAAAAGTATTAGCCACCTGGATCTGGGATGAGATTTTTTGAAATTCCATTGGGAAAGATAAAAAGAGGTCACGGGTGGCAGTCTTTAAACTCGTTACAAGATGAAAAATACTAATGTCTTCTGTTACAGTGGGAAGCTGTTTTGAACTCGCTACGAGTCCAAATGAGTGCTATATTCTAATACGAGTTGAAAACTGTGTTATGCTGTAATATAGTATAGGGAAGGCTGTTTTGAATTCGTACGAGTTCTGAAGAGTGTTATACTCTTAAGAGAAAGATCTATTTGAAATTCGTAAGAAATTTGAAGA